ACAAGTTAAGATTTAAACTTTTACGTTCGCAGCGAGAAGATAATTGATCTGTACCATCTAAGAAAAAGCAATTCTTTTTCATGTCATTAGATTGATTTTACCATCATTAAGCATGTTCTATAGACGTTGCTATATTGGCTAGATATGTACATTTTAATAAATTAATGTCTAAATTCCTTATTATGCAGGGGCCCACCAGCGGCCGAGCGGTAAAGTCGCTGAACACTGGTAGTTCGGTCCGAGGTTTGAATCCCGCGAACGGGCTGGCTGCATAGGCGTTTTCGTGGTTTTCCCCATGTGTAACGTGTATACGAGCCAGTTTCCCTTAGAAAGTCCTCCACGAAGGCATCCTTTCCCTTAGGCAGATAGCCCTCGTGTGCTTTGCCATAATTAAATACACCAACACACCATATTATGCAAGACTTAAAAGGAATTCTGTGTAACAGAATAAGTATTTTAGGCGAAATTTCATTAGAATCGGTTTTCTTTAATTGGTGCCCTCAATTTTCTTTTTTTCATCTTATGCCCGATGCAACTTGTGTCTGCTTTTACCTCTTCTTTAGCTCACCTTCCTGTATCATCACCCGAAAACCAGGACCAGATTCAAACAATTTTAAGCTCTAGGCACAATGCTCTTTCAGGAATTCCTAGTGTCCATTTTCTTTTTTTCATCTTATGCCCGATGCAACTTGTGTCTGCTTTTTCCTCTTCTTTAGCTCACCTTCCTGTATCATCACCCGAAAACCAAGACCATATTCAAACAATTTTAAACTCTAGACACAATGCTCTTTCAGGAATTCCTAGTGCCCATTTTGTTTGTTTTTATGAAGCAAAATTATAAAGAAATTACAAAATGATTTTCAGTTCCTTAAAATTAGTGACTTATTTAAAATGAACAAGAGTATTTGAAATTGCGAATGAATAATTTCAGTTAAAGAAAAAAAGTTTAAAAATTAAATGCATTCTTATTTTTCAAAATGTATATTAGAAACAATATATAAATGTATATTCTAATTGCTTGCATCGTTTAACCATCTTTACTTATTATTATAATATTGTTACGAATTTGGTATTTAAAAAGCTAATGTTAGTTCAATTATAAATTAAATGGTTTTATTTCTCGCGCAGTGCAGCGCGTGACGAATATTAAAAGAAAGCTAAGCCGGAAAAATTAAAAATACAAGAGCGCGTGCGTTAAATAAATAAATATCTCTTTTTGATTTCGAGAAAGTACTGGAAAATTCTAGCGCGTGATTTTAAAAGCTTATAAAAGGAGGAAACCATCTCAGTTTGTAGTTGTTGCTTAGTTTGTTGTTGTTTAGAAAACTGCTGTTGTTGATTATAGCGAATTCGCGGATTAGCGTTCTTTAGCTGTTTTGAATTACGTTCTATTGTACATTTAAGTAGTTAAAAGATAACTACTGTGAGATATTGTGATACTGCATGATAATTTGAGAAAATTTAAGCATTTCTGTTGTGATAATAATAAATTTTTGTTCATTTTTCATCGGACTTGTGCATTCATTTCATAACGAACCCGTACGCACGCAACAATTTTTGGTGTCAGAAGTGGGGTTTGAATGCCAATAACAAGAGGGATGGAAGAACAATTGAGACAGCTCATTACTGCTTTTGCAGCTTTCCAAGAAAAGATGGAAGCTGGCCAAACATCTTTTAAAGAAGAAATTAAAGAGAAAATGGATGCTGGTCAAAGGTCCGTTAAAGAAGAAATGAAATTGGGCCAGGAATCCCTCAAGGAAGAAATGAAAACGGCACAGGAACAAATGAAATTGGGCCAGGAATCCGTTAAGGAAGAGATGAAATCTCTTAAAAATGAGATGAAAGCAGGTCAAGACGAAATGAAAAGAGAAATTACCTGCGTAATAGAAAATAAATTTGAGGCTATGGAAGGCAAAATAGACGCGGTTGAAACTAAAGTTGGACAAATAGAAGAAAGAGTTTCTTCGGTAAAAGAACAAGTAGAAGAAAGAATTTCTTCTGTAAAAGAACATATAGAAGAGAGAGTTTCTGCCGTCGAACAACAAATTGATGATAGGGTTTCTGCTGCCGTCGCCAAAGAAGTTGACAGCCTAAAGAAGTGCATAGCGACGGTAGGAAACAATTCTGAATTTTTCAAATTTTTATCGATGCCTGCTCGTTCCGTTCTGAAACTATCTACATATGATGGGAAGACCTCCTGGCAGGTGTATAGGACACAATTTTCTATCGTTGCGGATGCGAATGGATGGGATTCCCAAGCTGAGGCCTGTCATCTCGCCGCTTCTCTGAGAGCAGACGCAGCGGATATCCTGCAGACGCTTCCCGAAAATCAAAGGCTAGATTTCGAAGCTCTATCCGGCGCTTTGGAGCTGCGCTTCGGCGAGAAATGTTTAAAAGACTACAGCAGGCTCCAATTAAAATCCCGTCAACAGAAGCCCACCGAATCACTCCAGGAACTCGCCACGGATGTTGAAAGGCTGTCCCATCTCGCCTTTTCGGAATGCCCGACAGAAACAAGGGAAATCCTTTCCTTGCAATACTTTATCGACGGCATCCGAGATACTGAAATACAGAAAGCTCTACGAATGGCGGATGTAAAAGATTTAAAAAGTGCTCTAGAGTACGCCATGAAATTTGAGGCAGCCCAGCAAGCCACTCGTCGAGACCGCTACCCAATCAGAGCTGTGCGAGTCCACGACCCAGGGGACCAATTGATGGCTCGTTTAGATGATTTATCCAGACAAGTCGATGCTTTGATACGGAGTAGCAGTGAGAACAAAGTGGCTGTAAGATGTTGGAGATGTGGTTCTGAAGGTCACCTACGACGGCATTGCAGAACACCCCAGAGCACGGATAATGAAACGGATGAGTTGACAAGACCAGTGAATGCTTTAAGACGGAATAGTGGTGAAACAAAACCGACCCTAAAGTGCTGGAATTGCGGTGTTGAAGGCCACCTACGAAGGAACTGCAGAACTCCCCAGAGCACGGAAAATAAGGCATACGATTTAAACAGACAATTAAATGCCACGGGAAGGAAAAGGACTGACAAGAAACCAAAGTGCTGGAACTGTGGAGCTGAAAGCCACGTACGAAAGAATTGCAGAACACCCCAGGGTACGAAAATTGAGACAATTTCTGAGCAACGACGCAGGAAACAAATTAATGACCATATCAAGGAACGGAGGTTGCCAGATAATGAAAAACCCTGTTTTAAAGCGCTTAAGATCTCTATAGTGAGTGGCAACAATAACGGACTGTCCATCAATGGGAATATCGATGGAGTTCCTTGCAATATGATCATTGACACAGGAGCTAATGTTACCATCATTAGGAAAGATTTAGCTGAACAGTTTAAAGATAAACTTATTTGGACGCCATCCTGTGTTACCCTTCAGACTGCGTCTGGTGAAAAGATCGACATAGCTGGGAAGTTAAACGTGAAAATCACATTTGGAAGTGCCGCCTACCATCACACGGCATATGTGGCGGATATTACAGATCCATGCATACTCGGATTGGACTTTTTAAGGAAATACAATTTTTCCTTAGATTTCAAAAACAATAAGCTGCTTTCAGCATCTGATGGCATGACTATCCATCCTCAAAAGGGATCCTCGCCTGGAAATGTCGACGCCTTGTCCGAAAGATCGAGCTCGGGAAGCTGCCGAAATCATACCAGGGTCGAAAAGAAACTCAAGACTACCAGCTATTCTCCATCCCAGAAGCTCTTCGGTCGAGACCTTCGTCTGCCTTGTGACCGCCTGTTTAGTCGCCCTACGGATGCGCCTTCATCGCCTGAGGAACACATCCAAGATGGCCCAGGCCCGGTTTCGAGGGGATGCACCGTTCTGCACGAAAGCGAGTCAACTTGGCGACGGAGAAAATGAAGACCAGATGCCACACAAGAGCTACTAGACATAGATCCAACAAAGGAGACAAGGTGTGGTTCTGGAACCCGATTCAACGAAAAGGACTGAGTCCTAAATTACAGTCACCTTCGGATGGTCCATATACAGTGCTGAAACACGAATGACGTCGTGGTTCGGATCCGTAAGTGAGTCTTCGAACTCTTACGACAGGTTAGCTTATTACTATGGCCATAGTACGTAATGTAAATAATTGTAAATAGTATCAGACCATGGTCCTTTTTGTTTATAAATGTGTATTTAGTATTTGATTTGCATTTAGTATTTGATTTGTATTTAGTATTTGTTTTTTATTTAGTATTTGATAGCATTTGATTTGTTTAAGTTAGTTATTGCATTTACTGTTTATATTGTTTGATATTGTAATGTAATGTTTATGCCTCAGTTGCATTTATGCCACAGTTGTAAGTTTAGCTTCCTGTCCAGGGATTGTACTGCCCGGGACGTGCAGTCCTTGGGAAGGGGGCAGTGTTACGAATTTGGTATTTAAAAAGCTAATGTTAGTTCAATTATAAATTAAATGGTTTTATTTCTCGCGCAGTGCAGCGCGTGACGAATATTAAAAGAAAGCTAAGCCGGAAAAATTAAAAATACAAGAGCGCGTGCGTTAAATAAATAAATATCTCTTTTTGATTTCGAGAAAGTACTGGAAAATTCTAGCGCGTGATTTTAAAAGCTTATAAAAGGAGGAAAACATCTCAGTTTGTAGTTGTTGCTTAGTTTGTTGTTGTTTAGAAAACTGCTGTTGTTGATTATAGCGAATTCGCGGATTAGCGTTCTTTAGCTGTTTTGAATTACGTTCTATTGTACATCTAAGTAGTTAAAAGATAACTACTGTGAGATATTGTGATACTGCATGATAATTTGAGAAAATTTAAGCATTTCTGTTGTGATAATAATAAATTTTTGTTCATTTTTCATCGGACTTGTGCATTCATTTCATAACGAACCCGTATGCACGCAAGAATATCAAATGTAACAGTAAACAAGCGGATTCGTTACTGTTGAAAATCACTTGATAAATGATTGACCTCACGTACATGTTTGGTTTAATATCTAAATGAATTTCAGGCACAAGGAAATTTATACTTGGACGAACGTCCATTGCTGTGTTCATAACATCATCATCGGCAAGCTGTGGTTCGAACAAGTAAGAATATATTTTTGCTTACATTCTGACATGTTCAGTGTTAATATAATCATTAACTTTTCTATATTCTTTCTTTAAATATTAGTCAATACTTCATAAGGTTTTTTTTTTAACGTTCTGTGCTATAAATGTTCTTGAGAGAGATATTCCAGCAGAAATGCAGTTCGTGCAAATCAAATGTGCCATTTTGTTTGTATCCAGACTCGCATTAAACACTCTGAAAAATATTATTAATTGACAGAATTTAAAATTTTACGTACGGTGTATTAGTAGTCGGTAAATTGTTTTGTATCTATTTTAGATTTTTTATTAATATTTTTTTTAGTAGCAGATTGAAATAAGCAGATTTTCGGGAACTACAGGCCTTGGCCCATTATAGCTGTTACGCCACTAAATTTAGTTTTGTTTTAGCAGATTGAAATATTTTAAAGTAAGATTTGAAACTCCTAAATTTACGTAAAGTTGCGATATTAAATTCTTTCTTGTTCAGAAGGCAAAATTTATGGAAATAATTATACTGTATTCAGCTTTAAAGTATTTGCAAATAAATTTTTGTTATATGCGTAATAAAATGTATAGGGTTTTCCTTATTTTGCATAACAAATTTATTTTAAGTTTGATACTTTAGCTGAACTTCTCAACTTCCCCTCATATTCTCTCGCCAGAATGTAAATTTAAAGTTAAGTGAAGTGCATATTTAAACGGGTGAATCTCTAAGTTTATTCTGAGCGTGTTTCGGTAGCCAAACTTAAATGGCTTATTGTGCAATAAAAATGCATATCGTAAAAAGAGAAATATTTGGCTGATGCATTAGCTTTTAGTTATAGGAATAAAAAATAAGGTGGAGATAAAATTTTGAAAAAGGCATAATAAATTGTGAAATAAAGTACAGTGTATGAAAACTGGAAAACGATTACGTTTCCTTGTTGGGAATATAAATAAACAGCTATGTATTAAACAAATTTTCTTTATTTTAGCTCTACAAATAGCCTTCTTATACTCGGTACTCTTCTGTTATTGGGACCGGATTCAGAAATGTATGTGTGGATGGATGGATGGCTTGTTCATATGTGCATGTATATATGGATGTGTATGCGTGTGTGTATACACAAACATACGTACGTAAGTATGTGTTATGTTTGTGTATATGGACACATACATGATCACATCCATACATACATACATTCATACATATATACATTTCTGAATACGGTCACCGATAACAGAAGAGGATCGATTTTTTTATATATATTCTTCAATGCAGGTTTTTAATTTCACACCATTTACCAAGTAACACTTGATATATTTTGCTATAAATTACTTCTGAGATTATATTCTATTATCTACTTTTGCTCCGCTTGCTGTATTTTCTAATCTAAAATGCGTATGTAAAAGACATAGAAACAAGCATATAAGGCTTTTGAACAGGAAAAATAATTGGAATAATGAAAATATAGGAAAAACATTTATGTTAAGTTATTTAATATTTCTTATGTATTGAATTATAAATATTATACCTTTCTTTTTCAGTACGGATTAATGGAAATACACTGCCATACGACGAACTTGACTGTCCAATTAAATTTCAAACCAGCTGGCTGGTTCGGTCGTGATTTGCACCGGATTGAAGGATTCATCGTAGATGGACAGTAAGTTGGAATGCTATTTTAAAGTCTTAAAGCGATGATCCTTTTAAACCTTGCTTATTTCTGTTCAAGGCAAATGTAGTTTATTCCAAACTATACTTTGCTATGTGTTTTGAACTACACTATTCAGTATAACCTACACTAAAGGCGATCTTGTACAAACTAAAGCTGATATAAAGATGTATCACTAGGTAGTCTTTAAACAACCAGCTGCATTTTTCTGCCCATTATGCTCATTTGTTCATTTGTTCATATGTAGCCTTGTGAATTGCATCATAGTGGTATTAATTATGAGTACCTGTGGCGTTTAGATCAAGACTAATTATGAATCATTGCACAGCATAGTATTTCTGTCTAACGGTAATGTGCATATATTTTATTCTGCGTATAACTTTGGCCATCTCATTCACTACTCATCACCATGAAATATTTTATAAAAACGTCTACCAGTGACCCGATGAATTAGACGGCTGAATGTTGGTGATTTTGCCCTTCAGTTTAGATCCTGGCGAAGAACTTGCTGCATGTGCTTTTTCTTGGTTTTCCTGTTTCTTGGCTTCTTGGTGACGTGGATGCCAGCTATTTGCCCTTTTAAAACTTCCATAAACACATCTCTTCCTTTAGGCAGATAAAACCCGTGTACTTTGCCATAATCAAATAAAACTAGTACTAAACATACATAAAGGCATAAAGTAACATATGCTGTTAACGTTTTTACATTATTTAAAAGCATATAAATTTTAATACAGCTATTTATTCAAAAAACAGGTGTTCACACTGAGAGGTTTTGAATGCAAACGAATGTAAATTAATTACTTAGATCATAAAAGCCACTGTTATCAATACTCTACCATAGCCTCAGATTGTTGTGTTCGTCTTTAATCTATCCAAGTGCACACGAATACTTACTTTCAGATTTTCTTTGTATACAACTTGTCATGGTAAAGGCTCTCTATCAGACCAGATGCAATAGGTCATTTGATTAAGGCAAAGAATCGAAAGCTGTCTGCCTTAGGTGAACCTCTTGACGAAAATTGCTAGGGATTTCATATTGTACATGGGGAAAACTGAGAAAAACCCTGTGCGGCCACCTCGTCTAGCTGAGTGTAACATGCTAGACATTTCTGGTACTAATGCTTAAAAGATTGTGGTTCTGCGTATTCATAGCTACAGTTTAACCGCGCTGGTCGCGACCATGAGCACCGATTTATTGAGAAAATAGGATGGAACATAAATCATGTAGTAGTGATTTTTTGTCCTTGTTTTTCTTCACTCCGTTCAAAGAACACAGATTTAAGAAGGCTGAAAATTACTTTTAAATAAGATAACATACTGATAATCATTTGTAATTAACTGTTTGATAACATTGTGTTTAGTTTTGTGCAATTATATATTTATTTATATATTGTTAAACATATGAGTGCTTTCAAAGCTTAATTTTGCTATAAATACATAATTTTATGAAAAATTAATTTAACGATAATAAATAATTATTATAATAATACTATAATTAATGATTATGTATATATATATTTTATATCTTTGAATTAAAATATATACACTGAAATATACATTGAAAAATAGAAATTTCTTAATAATTAATTATAATAATTATACGATAATAAAATTATAATTATAGTTATTTAATTATTTATAATAATTAAAATAAATAATTATTATAGTTCTTTTTAGGCTAAAATCTACATGCATCATTATACATAATTGAAGTAGGGGGAAACCAAATTTATTTTATAAAAAAAGAACGAAAATAAATCTTACCTAAAAGGTCGCAATATTGGCAAATGTCTAGTTCAATCATAGATAATCAGGGACCTCTCTCAAATGGGGTAGATAACTATTAAACTTTTTTTAAACTACAGAGAGAATATTTTCGCTAAAAATATAGTTCCATAAATTTTAGATATTTTTTTAATTTAAATTTTAAATTTCCTTATTTTAAAAAATAAGCTATGAAACATGCGAGATTCACTTAACATTCCTATGTTAAGAAATTTCAACATGTTTAGTTTCCAGCGGTGCACATCAATGCGAATTTTCACGTTTATTTCTGCGAATATTAAATAAAGGCGCGACAGGTAACTCACAATAGGATCACCTCATTCACACAAGGAATTTCCCTCTTTTCGAAGAACAGGAAACTCTCGTGTGACCTCCTTACCCTGCGGCACGTAATGAACATCCCTTTTGGATCGGTCGCGGACACTTAGCCGACAACCACTTAGCCGACAGGACACTTAACCGACACCAGTTAGCCGACAAGACATTTAGCCGACAGGGACACTTAGCCGACAAGGACACTTAGCCGACAGGACATTTAGCCGACAGGACTTTTAACCGACACGGACACTTAGCCGACAGGACATTTAGCCGACAGGACTTTTAACCGACACGGACACTTAGCCGACACGGACACTTAGCCGACAGGACATTTAGCCGACACGGACACTTAACCGACAGGTCATTTAGCCGACACGGACAGTTAGCCGACAAGACACTTAGCCGAAAAGGACACTTAGCCGACAGGACATTTAGCCGACTCGGAAAGTTAGCCGACAGGGCATTTTGCTGACACAGAGAATTAGCCGTCAAGACATTTAATTACGGGACACTTAACTATCAACACATTTATTCGGCAGGACACAAAGCCGACAGTAATGTTTAGCTGGCACGTACCCAATAATTGTTCAAACTTACTACCAATTACAAATTTCTCGACTTCTTAGTAAGTTCAATTAAATTAAAGTAAATTAAGTAATTTAAGTTATTTTTAGTTCAATTAAATTAAGTAATTTATTTTTTCACTATCAGAAAAATTCATTTTTCGATTCTTAAAGATCTCATATATACTTTTAATTATTGTGTTAATTTAGCATTGTTTGATATGTATCCATGGACTTTATCAGAAATAGATCAACCCAAATGGGTTTTCTCTCTTGCCTTGGCATATTGCCGGCTATCATCTTGACCACATCCGGAGGAGTAGGGACGACTTGCAGAAACTTAACAATAGTTGGCTATTGCAGCGCGTATAATTTTCAAGAAAAAGCTGGTGATAGCATCTCATTTCAAAACTTAGAGTTTTTAGATATTTTTATTTTTGAAACTGAAATTGATTTTTAAAAATTTAGCATGTTTATCAAGCGTAATTAATGTTCTAAATAATTATAAAGCTGTTACATGCTTTCAGGTCTGGATATTTTTTAGCTTTTCCTATGCTGTAAAGAAATTTGTATCGCCTTCTTTTAAAAAATAATATTTTAAATCTGAACTAATAGAAAAATTCAAGCAAACAATTTTCTCTTAAAATTTTTATGCTTTTTATTGGCGTAAATAAGTAAAAAATATTAAAATTGAAAAAAATGGATTTTTGAAAGTTTTTGCTTAAATTTCTTATTTGTACTGCTTTTTTTTAAAAGTATATCTGAATATTATAGCATAATATTCTGCAAAGAAGTTTTATTTCAATAATATTTCATAATACACCATAATGATTAACACTTTTAACACTTTAATAATTTTTTTGCATTTATTCTAATGTTAAAAATTGTATTTAACTGTAATAATTAATTGTGCTAGTTTTTTATAGTGATTTTTTTTTTAAATTTATGTCTAGTTCTGCATAAGTTTTCTTATTTATTGCTAATTTATTTTATTAATCCAAAGGGGCGGCAGCTCAGAAAAGCTATTAGTTTCGAAACGGGATTGTGCTTATTTATTATTAAATTTAAGTTTCACTATAAATGTCCGTTTCACTTTGCAAACTGTTGCCACCAAATATTATCATCCTGTATTAAATTTAAAGAAATTAAATAATGAAGAAACTGCATGAATGCATGTATGTTTCTCATGCACTGTGGATAAAAACAACAGAATTTAGAATCATAAAATTTTGAATAACGTAATCCTCCACCCGAACATGTTTACCTGGACGGCCTAATTTGGAATTTGTTTTATTATCCATTTGATATTTTGTAAGCCTTTAACGAAGTATTTGATTAACAAACTCAACGAGTTCAAAGCAAGCAATGGGCAACACCTGTACAGAAATAAATAACATTTTTATCTCCAGCACGCGAGACTGTGTATCGGAAATTTCTAAAGATATGCTCTTTTTCAAATACTTTGGTGATACTGTTCATTGAATTAAATTTTATGGTCTGGTTTAAGTGCGAAGAACATGATATTTAATAAATAAAGGTAACACGCAAAACGTTACAAAAACACTCCTTTGGGCGTAATATAAAATTATATTGCTGAGTGCTTCCAGAGTTTATCCATTTTTCCCCCTCATTGCACTCAAAAAAGTTTATGCTCCGAATTTTATGAATTACTAAAATAAATAATCATCTTACAATGTTAATAATTAATGATCACATAATCAAATAAATGATAGTCTTGTTATGTTATAATAATTTTAAAAACTACTGCCTGAAAATGCTCATAAAATCAAAGAAAATTATCAGATCTTGTTTAATTTTACCTTATTTGTTTCAAAGCATCATATGCTATCAGTATTCTTTAATTTTACTTTATTTGTACACAAAAGTAAGTTCAGAAGTTTTGCGTTTAGAATTTTTACCGTTTTACTAAAGTAAAGAAATTTATACAAGAATTACGCTTGAAAAAAATGCAGTAAAAAGTACTTTTATGAGACATGTTAAATCTTGTTTGCATAAACTGGGACTTTCATAATCTCATCACTTATACATCATGATGTATAAGATGTATCATGATGTATAAGATGTATACGTATCACATTTAATAATTAAAAACAGTTATGTGATACAAACGCCAGTGGTTTCCGTGTTAAAGTAATCCAGATCGTCCATACTCTTTCTTATGGGCCCACCAGCGGCCGAGCGGTAACGTCGCTGAACACTGGTAGTTCGGTCCGAGGTTCGAATCCCGGGAACGGGCTGGCTGCATGGGCGTTTTCGTGGTTTTCCCCATGTGTAACGTGTATACGAGCCAGTTTCCCTTAG